TGTAGAATGAACAGCTAGCTGAGATCCATTGCAGTTTTGTTACACTTGCATGTCCATGTTCACTTTTCTTATCAACCTTCACAGAACTCCAACTTCAAGACTACAACAGGGAAACACATTAATTTTGACAGCAAAAATCAGTTACAAGGAATGGCAAGACCTCTGGTATGTTAGGCCCTGATCAAGCAAAAAACTTCAGCGATGTTTAATCTTCAGCACCTCATTAACTCCATGAAGTCACCAAGGGAAAGTGAACATAACATAAATGGTTTCTGATCCTTTCCATTAAGAAATGAAAAGGGTTTTTAAAACTAGAACCGAACGTTGTCCAAGAGCGAAGCCACCTGTATGAATCCAGCTTGAGCTCAGAGCTGCTTCAACATCCTTCACATATACCTCTTACCAGCCTCATAAAGCAATCTCCACCTGTTCCCGTGGAAAGTCACACCACACGTCCTGAAAAAGCTCAATTGCATTGTGCTCTGGTGCACAGCACTGGAAATGGGAAACCCCCACAGGCAACTGACTCCCTGGGAATTAGTCTTGACAAAAGGTCCCAATGGCCACTACCTAGAAGGAAGCTTTGGTACATTTCTTCTTTCTAATCAGATCGAAATAGGCATTTTGCTTTGCTCCAAACAAGAAAGGTTTCTCCGTTATTTCAAGATATTTTTTTCTGTCACTGGTGACTTAGGCTTCAAAGACATTTTGTCCCTCAAGTATGCCCCTGTTCATCTAAAGCATATTGCCAGTGCCAGACAGAGAACCGTAACATACTTTAATAAAAATCTTTTGCATCTGCAGAGTGAAAGAAGGATGTAAGATTGACAATATGACAAGATATTCCAGAGAGATCTTACATTTAAAAAGAAGGATACTTCAGGAATAAAAAGGTTTTCTGCCTGATGTTGCAGAAGGTTACAAAGATAATAATGCTCTATATTAAAAGGTCACTGTTAGAGTTCTGCCCTCGGATAAGGAGCACAAGACAGTTAACAGTTGCATAGACCTGACGTGGTGCAAACGTGAAACATCCACTCTGCCCTTTCGCACACCATCTGCAACGCTTGGGTGGAGAGTTCAGGAAGTGGGTCAGATGAGATGGAAAAGGTGATGTTTCACCAGATGGTTCACAAAGCCAGGCAAATTGTTCCTCTGGAAGCGTAACACTGGTTGCAAGATCAAATAATAAAACCATCAAACTAGGAAAATTAACAGCTAGAGAGAAAGCTGGATGAGTCTAACAACAGTCATATCTTGTCGTAAGCGCCATCACGTTAGTTGCCCACCCCCCTTCACCCAGTTCTGATATCAACCCCCCATTCTTCAAACAGACAACACACCCAACATCTGTTTGTCACCCATCCTCCCAGGCAATGCTGATCCTACATAAAGCAGGATGGAAGAAACAGGAGGCTCAGAGTGAAAAACAGAAGGCCATCACCAGTCATGCAGCTAGGACTGGTCCAAAGTTTTGCTATGTGGCAAGCAGGAAAAGAAGAGTGGGAGACTCTGGGCTTTGTGTTTTTTATTGCTTGTCTTTGTTCTGCTGGAAGCTGTGGGGGGAGGGGACAACTTTTGGCAGGGGAAATAGCAGGGCATTTGTCAAAGGCCTCAAACCACCACTTCTCATTATGGGGCCAGGGAGAAGGATTCACCCCAGTAGCGATTTAGATTAATTGCTTTTCATTAGGAGCCAATAAACAAACTCCAGTCAGAATAAGCATTTCTGCCAGCACCCTATGTTGCCATTTATAATTGCCATAAGGAATAGCAAAGGAGCACTAGAGAGTTGTCAAATGTAATTTATAGGTTTTTAAGATCTAATCATTTTCTATAATATTAAATTAAATGGCAGCCTTTATTAAAAAGGAAATTGCATTTCACCTTGCTATAGTCTAGAATATATACACACACACATATATATATAAAATACTATTTGCAGTTGCTGTCTTCTCTAGTTTAACTGGAAAGGGGAAGGAGAGGCAGGGTTGCTTAATGCTAAGGGTAAGTCCTTGAAAAAATGCTTGAGATGAGGTGGTTTATACTACCTAGCTTTTCCTCTAGGGGCTATAACCTGACCTCCAAAATTCAGTGGACAATGAATGGCAAACACCAGACAATACAAATCAGGCTGAAAATCAGACTGAACTTCAGGTAGCTCCTTAGGAGATGAATGCAGAGGAAGAGAGCTGTCTGGTATGTAGTGTATCTCCTTTAAAGCAGGAACTTTGGGAGCAATGATGACATGTACAGATTTGTTCTGAATGAACTCCAGTTCAGCAGAACACCAGACACCAGCTGGTGAAGCACATAGAAAGGAGATGATTCAGAGAGGCCACCTTGCGAGAACATCTACTACGATGTATCGACTGAGATCTTCAGCTTGTGATCAGGAAACACAACGAGCTCTTAACACTTCAAGGGGATTTATCCCAGGAAATGAGAAGCACGGGCTGCAAAGCAGAAAGAACAAGAAGGGGAGGTGTCATACCTATACCTGCCCTGATGTATTTAATACACAAACCACAGAAATACCTATGGGTCACTCACATTTGTTGGAGAGCATGTAGGATCCTTAAAGAAGCTCTGAACAAATGCTGAAGTGGGGAGGAAGGAAAGCCACACCATATCACTGCACAAATCCACTGAAACAGCATGCCTCCTGATGGGGCTAATACAACAAAAACTAAGGTAGGATTTGTAACTAAGAATCTGAGTTCCTACTACCCTGAATAAAATTCCGGGTGTGTCACTGGGTTTATGCAAACACCTTCCTCAGTACTGGTTTCACACGGGCTATGTGCAGGTGGATGAGTCAAGACGGCAGCACACTCCTCTTCCTCTACTCCCAGCTAGTCAGGCACAAAGACAACTGTGATGTAGAATATTGAACCACATCGGTAACGAACTAGCACACTTCTCATGGGCACAACACTGCAACATACCCAGACTTTACTGGCTGGAACCTACAGGTAGCCTGAGCTCATATCTGCCTGAATCTGCCTACTGCAGTTATGCCAAAGACTCCCCTACAGCACCACAGAATGGTTTGGGTTGGAAGGGGCCTTAAAGATCATCTAGTTCTAACCCCCCTGCCGCAGGCAGGGACACCTTCCACTAGATCAGGTTGCTCAAAGCCTCATCCAACCTGGCCTTGAACACTTCCAGGGATGGGGCATCCACAACTTCTCTGGGCAACTTGGTCCAGTGCCTCACCACCCTCTGAGTGAAAAATGTATTCCTTATATCTGATCTAAATCTCCCCTCTTTCAGTTTAAAGCCATTACTCCTTGTCCTGTCACTACACGCCTTTGTAAAAAGTCCCTCTCCAGCTTTCCTGTAGGCACCCTTTAAGTACTAGAAGGCTGCTAGAAAGTCTCCCTGAAGCCTTCTCTTGTCCAGGCTGAACAACCACAACTCTCTCAGCCTGTCTTCATAAGAGAGGTGCTCCAGCCCTTGGATCGTCTTGTGGCCCTCCCCTGGACTTGTTCCAACATGTTCATGTCCTTCTTATGTTGAGGGCACCAGAGCTGAACACAGTATTTCAGGTGAGGTCTCACGAGAGCAGAGTAGAGGGGCAGAATCCCCTCCCTCGACTGCTGGCCACACTTCTTTTGATGCAGTGCAGGATACAGTTGGCTTTCTATAGCTTGCCACTCAGTTCTTCTCTCAGTACCCATCATGGCTCTGCCCTCACGTTAGCAGGCCTGCTTGGCACATCACCAATACCCTTCCTCTTCTGCACCCAAGGAACAAGAACACCACCACCACCTCTGTCCCCACGATATTACCTGTATCCATAGCATCAGATTCAAAAGCTTTATGATCGCACTTGCTCCCTGACTCTCTTGTTATCCCAACACAAGAGAGATCTGTTTTGTACACAGTTGAATCTTTTAACAAACAACTTCTGGACCAAAAAAAAAAAAAAAAAAAAAAGAAAAGAAAAAACATGCCACGTAAAAGGCATTTTTATTTATATTAGTTTTCATTGAATCCTTTTATTTTTCTCAGTCAACAT